TGAGCCACCCAGGCGCCCCACAACTCTTGATCTTTATTTCCATTGTCATTTGATAATGCAACAGTATTCAGGTAGTATGTGATTGAGAGTTGCTCTTTTTTTTTTTTTGACAGAACAAAACCTATTTACCTGTTTTCTTTTTTTATTCTTGCTATGGAAAATCCAAATCTACCTTTTTTTAACCTTTATTTTGATAGCGAGGGTACTGAAGATGACATTAGAATCAAAGATATATACTTCTGTCAATTTATCTGCACCATCCATTTAATCGTTAAATTGTATACTGCTGTAAAAATACATGTTAGCATTCTGTGCTGTTTTATGTTCAGTGCTGGTGGTTTGGAATTAACTTCTCCTTATATACATTTTTCTAATATGATATCACCTAATTTGCTTTTGCTACAGATTATTATTATCAGACATACTATAAGGATGTTAGTCTTCCAAATAAAGTGGCTGAACTCTCAGTTCAGCAAGATCAGGATATCGAAGCTTCTACTTTTAATTCTGAAGACCAGTCACAAATAGAAAATGATGCTTACACTGGTACTGCTATAACAGAACATGTTAAATGTGCAGAAGAGGACCATTTTGCCTCAAATTCAGATTCACAGGTAATGAGATGCTTAACATAAACTCTTGATGCCCAAAATGTATCATTTGTTGTTATATAGAAAAAGAGACTTCTTTAGTCCATTACAATGTATACAAGGTTTATAAACATTTTATGTGTAATGATACAGTGAATATTACAGTTTTTAAGAAACAGATTAGCATTTATTAATATGTGTAATTGTTTTTCTACTCTGTTCTAAAAATTAATGATGTACATAAACTAAAAGAAAATTTGTCACTGTATTTTCACTCAATCAAAAAATTTGGGCAACAGCCACAATATCATGTTCATACTAATTTTTTTTTTAAAGATTTTATTTTTTAGTAATCTCTCCATCCAACATGGGGCTCAAACTCACAACTCCAAGATTAAGAGTCTCACGCTCCACTGACTAAGCCAGCCTGGTGCCCCCACATTAAAATATTTTTAATGCTTACTTTATGTCCCATATCTTGCCACTGTTGCCTGAGTGTCATATAAATTTTTTTTCTTTAATTTGTTTGAAGCAGGATCCCAGTAATTCCAGGATCCTAAGATCCAGTATAACTTCTTGGTGTGTGATATCTCACATTATCTATAGCTTTTTCCTCCATCTCTCTTTTTCAAATTTTTTTCCCTTTGAACCTGTAATTATTCTTTTTTTTTTTAAAGATTTTATTTATTTGAGACAGAAAGAATGAGAGAGATAGAGCACACGAGAGGGGGGAGGGTCAGAGGGAGAAGCAGGCTCCCTGCCGAGCAGGGAGCCCGATGCGGGACTCGATCCAGGGACTCCAGGATCATGACCTGAGCCGAAAGTGGTCGCTTAACCAACTGAGCCACCCAGGCGCCCGAACCTGTAATTATTCTTAAAGAGTATTTCAGAGTCTGTATTTTGTAGATAACTATCTTATGGTATCGGGCATCTGTTTTTGAGTAATGGTCACACACTCACTTTAATGTCTTCAAAACTAGGTTAAAATTGAATTAACTAAACACTAGTAACTGTTTTTTGAGGTGAACCAAACTGCAGTTGATAGCCATCTCTTTCCATTGCAGAAATTGAAGCCTTATTGTTTAAAATTGTTTTAAGTCTATTTATTGTTTTAATTCGGCTAACTTTTAAAGTGATAAAAGGAAGTTTTTGTCTTATTTGACATGAATGTATCTTACCTAGGAGCCAGCATCTGTATTAGCAGCAGAAGATACATCCTTAGAAGGTTCTTCATTAGCTGAAAGTTTGAGAGCTGCAGCAGAAGCTGCTGTGTCTCAGACTGGATTTAGTTATGATGAGAACACTGGACTGTATTTTGATCACAGCACTGGTTTCTATTATGATTCTGTAAGTATCTTGGACTGTTTAATGTTGTATGGTTGTATACTTGCTGCTTGATACCAAGTATTAAACCCTAAGCTGAATTAAGAAAAGCAAGAAACTGCATTGAAAAATTTTATTTGATTCAAAGCTATTTGACATGAGTAAAGAGTTGTAAAATAGCTTATGATGTTACATTTCTGTTTTTAATAAAATAAGTTAATTGTGATTGTATAAGTATTTCTTATACTTAAGAAAGACCTAATGTTTTATATGTAAAGTAACACACAAAAATGTTAGAGCATTTATTAATAAAAGCAGATAGTTAACTACATTGTTGTAAAGTGTTTAAGAACTTAAACGAACATTTTTTCATAGAATTTTAAGGAAGTGACATTGTTAATTCTAGTCTTGGTGTGAAGTTTTTAAAAATTGTTTCAAGTACTTATGAATCCATTCGAGCTCTAGAGGAAATCTTTTTTTTGAATTCTCAATAGCATGTTTATTATTAGTTTAAAAGTTCTGTGGCTTTTAAGCATTTCACTTTTAAAAAAATCAATGTTAGGACTGAGAACTAGGGAATTTGTGTGGAATCAGACATGTAATGGACCACTAACTAGGACAGAACCTAAAAATAAAGTTCTTGATTTATAATTCAGTGTTACGGCTGTTGACATCTGGTACTTAATTGTATTTCATTCAGGATTTGATGACAATGACGATGGAACTTACATACCTATATACCTCAGCCTTAGTGGTCTAGGAATGTGATCTGGTCCTCAGAAATTGTAGAATGTGGTACCCAAAAGTGAAGCAGATTTTCACCATTCCAGTCACTGGAACTATTGTTAACTAATCTAGGGAATATAATGATAATACTAAATATCTTAGAAAAGGATTTCATTAGCTTGTTGGTTTGTACTTGGTATACTTTCTAAATCCCTTATAAAGAGAGAATTTTCTTTCACAGGAGTATGCTAATTGACCATGCTAATCAGTACCCAGGAACTTAATGTTTAAACTCTTATTACCGAAGAGACTAGCTATTACTTGTTTGGTTTTGAGGAAAATACAGAGTTCACAAGTATATGATGTTAGTCTTCATCATTCTTCTACCTTCCTTTCTGTAGCTTTCCTCCTGACATCTCTTCTGTAAATGGTTAGCTATATTCTGTTGGTTATATGTTTCAGTAAAGTAGGGACTTCATTGTTTTGCCCTTTTTATTGTACTAGTTTTCATTTTAGTGTAATTAAATAGTTTTTCTTAAATTTTTGAAAATGTGTTTTAGACTGAAAGACATAAGAGATAAAACAAGTTTGAGTTGGGAAAGTTTTATTATCACTGGTAATAAAGATTAGAAAGCTTCCATTCAGTTTTTTAATTATGGAAAAGATTGAATTCTAAATTTTTTTTTTTTAAGATTTTTATTTATTTATTTGACAGAGACACAGTGAGAGAGGGAATACAAGCAGGGGGAGTGGGAGAGGGAGAAGCAGGCTTCCCGGCCGAGCAGGGAGCCCGATGTGGGGCTCGATCCCAGGACCCTGGGACGCTCAGATGCTTAACAACTGAGCCACCCAGGCGCCCCTGAATTCTAAATATTTTTGTAAGAGATCTGTAACGTGAACTAAAGACAATAAATTGCAGTAATACCACAGAAAAATATTCTTTTCCAGGCAGTTTTAGTTGTTTAACCTTAGTATATCATAAGACATTTCCATATCTGATCTGCATCGATTTATAATGTAAATAAAATATACACTGTTGAATTGAATCTTGTTTATAGAGTATGGGCCAGTATCTAATAAATACAGATGATTACATAATTTTTATCTTTCTAGTTTTTATCCATAATTTGCCAAAATTCATTTTTTGCATGGTTCTTTCACTTAATTACTTACAGTAGAACTAATTAATGAAGACAGTTGTTTATCAGTTTCTTTATATAAAATGTCGTATCTCTGAGCTTAATTTTATTTTTGAATTTTTCTTCAGGGCTTTTAGTCATGAACACTAAAAAGCAAGTATTGGTTTTATGACACTGAAAGGAGGGTTGGGGGAGTTTATACCAAACCATTATTGTGTAATCATAAGGATAATGAGTCTGGAATTACTTTTTCTGTGATCAGCTTTTTCTGATGCATGCCTTAGTTTTCATGACTTCTGAAAGGTTTTTTGTAATCATTTTCATTAATGTATTAAGTTGAACCATATGAAATTGCTGCTTCTCTAAGTATGAAAATGATTAAATATTGGCAGTTTCTTGAGATTCAATTTAATATTTAAATTATTCATTTTTTGTACTAGGAAAATTAGAGCAAATATTGAATGGTAAAGTATTCTGGAAACTTAGGAGCATTTTTCATTCTGTCATCTTTACTCATTATCTTCAGAAAATAGTAGAGTTCTTAAAGAAACATTGACTATTTTTGAATATATTTGGCATTGCTGTTAAGTTTATTTTTTTATTTTATTTCATCGTACCTGACTAGAACTTACCGTTTTCTTGACTTTGAAAGGAAAATCAACTATATTATGATCCTTCCACTGGGATTTATTACTATTGTGATGTGGAAAGTGGTCGCTATCAATTTCATTCTCGAGTTGATTTGCAGCCTTATCAAACATGTGGCACAAAACAAAGTAAGGATAAAAAATTGAAGAAGAAAAGAAAGGATCCAGATTCTTCTGTAACAAATGAGGAAAAGGTAATGTCTTCATAATTTTAAAAATTTACTTGATGATATAATTATGTCAGAGTTTTTGATGAAACTGAAAATCATCATTTAGTAACTGTATTTCAAACATATCGATTAAGATATCAGAATCTATCAACCAAGGAGCATTCACAGGGGGCACGGATGGACTTTTTCACAAATTTTTCATCATTAGAAATAAAAGGAATTCCTTAAAGTTTGAAGGAGGTAGATTTAGGGTGGATAAAATACTCATGTGTTACATAATTTGGAAGAAGAACAGTCAGACCCTCAACCAATAAGTTGTTGTTGGGGCGCCTGGTGGCTCAGTCAGTTAAGGGTCTGCCTTTGGCTCGGGTCATGATCTTGGGGTCCTGGGATCAAGCCCTGCGTGAGGCTCTCTGCTCATCGGGGAGTCTACTTCTCCCTCTCCCTCTGTGCTCTCTGTCCCTCACTTGCTCTCTCAAATAAGTAAATAAAATCTAAAAATAAAATAAGTTGATGTTATTGCACAATTCACAATAAAAGCACAGATTGTAAGTAGACATAGATAAAAGTTCTGCTTCTTAGTCATGTTGAGCAATTCTTACCTATTATGTTAGCAAACATTAAATCAGTTGCTAGCAAATATAGGATATGTATGTATGTATTAGAAGTGGAAATTGGTGTCTTTTTTTTTTTAAGGATTGATTTATTTTAGAGCGAGAGAGCAGGGGGAGAGGCAGAGGGAGAAGAGGGAATTCTCAAGCAGACTTCCCACATTGTGGGGACCCCGATGCAGATCTTGATCCCACAACACTGAGATCATGACCTGAGCCAAAACCAAGAGTTGGTGGCTCAACCGACTCAGACACCCAGGTGCCCTTGGTGTCTTTTTGGAAAATAGATTGGCCATTTGTATCAATAACCGTAAAAATGTTAATATTCTTTAAGTGGAAAATCTCATTTCAGGTAATATTTTTAAAAATCCTAAGAGGGGTGTCTGGTGGCTCAGTCGGTTGAGCTTCCGACTCTTGATTTCAGCTTAGGTCATGATCTTGGGGTTGTGAGATCTAGCCCCATATTGGGCTCTGTGCTCAGCATGGAGTCAGCTTGGGATTCTCTGTCTCCTTCTGCCCCTTTCCTTGCTCATGTTTGTGCATGTGTGTGCTCTGTCTCCGTCTCTCAAATAAATAAATAAAATCTTTTTAAAAAATCCAAAGAAAGAAAAATGCCTTTGTGTAGTTATATAGCAATATTTTTAAGAACAGAAAAAAATTAAGAGTTCAAATGGCCTGCAAGATATTGGTTAAGAAAATGATAGTATGTTTAATTGAAAAGCATTCTTTAGGCCTTAAAATGGTAATTCATAAAGATGGGGGGAATTTGAAAAATGCTTCTGATACAAGGTTAAATTTAAAGAAGGAAAATATAAAAAACGTTACCAGTGCTCTTATGTGTATTCCCCAGACAGATAAGGTTGGTGGTTTATATGCAGGAAAGGAGGCTTATTTGTTATATTGGCATTTTGTGAATTGTGGCAACTACTAGATACTTCACTCTTAAAATTTTATCTAATGTTTTTCTCTTAACCAAAGAGAAAAGTTTTTTAATGTATAATACTAAAGTTCACATATGGAATTAGGTTTCCTTTGGATTTACTTTCTCTATTTGATTTGTTTGTATTTCTCTTATTTTCACTGACGTACCTAGGAATAAAAGAGAATGTGACTAAATAGTAAAAATGATTTTTCTGTTTGCTTTCAAGACCTCTGTTTTAATGATTTCTTTTTTTTTTTTTTTTTAAATAACCCTGGGCTCTTTTTTTTTTTTTTTAAAGATTTTATTTATTTATTTGACAGAGAGAGAGAGAGCACAAGTAGGCAGGCAGAGAGGCAGGCAGAGGGAGAGGGAGAAGCAGGCTCTCCACTGAGCAGGGAGCCCGATGTGGGGCTCGATCCCAGGACTCTGGGATCATGACCCGAGCCGAAGGCAGCCGCTTAACCGACTGAGCCACCCAGGTGCCCCTGTTTTAATGATTTCTACCTGTTGCTAGTAGTTGAACTATTTGAAAGGATAGGTTTTGAAAGTACTTCTTTCTAACAATAGATAAGAACATAGAGGGTCCTTAAATGACTTTTCCTGACAAACTAGAGAATGAAATTTGAAAGTGTTTTGTGAGATTTTAGCTCCCATAACTGCTCTTCTTTACCATCCTTCTTCAAAAATGTGTGAACTCTAGGATAGGAACTTAAAAACAATTCTGATAGGATTTTGAGAATTCCCCAAAGATTCTTAAAGGTAGCTATGAAGCATGGGAGACCATTTAAGACATCCTCATCTTTTTTTTTTTTTTTATTAAGATGCTCTTGAGCTTCACTCTTTGCGAGTGGGGGTATGGTGGAAAGAAATTGGCATAAATGAAATATGCATATATGCCTCAATGTCCACATGTAGGCCTCCATTCTTATCTCTTAATGAATATTTATCTAACATTCTGGACTGGTAGATGGTTTTTAAGAATAGCACCTCTGACATTTTCACTCATTCCCACTCCACATATGTTTTCCTATAAGCAGTAATAATAATAAAATATACAGGATTGGAAACTGCTTTTTTTTTTTTTTTTAAGTATATATAGATAGGGAAATTTTTGGCTATAATTCACAGTGGCCTTTAAAGCTTCTCATAGTTTTTCAGCTTGTTGTCCTTGTTCTTGCCTTTGATGAGTTTGTATTGCTGGGAGTGTATATAGTTTTTCATACTGTGAGTGTTTAGCTGGTCTCCAAACCGAATTTATGCTACTGTTAAAAATACGTGTTTAAGATGCTCTCATATTTTATAAAATAACAGAAGACCATATGAATTCACTTCCATCATGTTGCTTTAGGTAGAAAGAAAATTCAGAGTATGTTACAAACCAAAGGAAAATAACTGATTCTTTTAAGTTTAAAATAATAGATTTGTTTATTTATCATAAGGTATGCCCACTATACACGTATAATAAATAATAAAAGGTTTATGCCTGCTAATTTGGAATTTTAGAATAAAAGAGATGTAACAGATTCATCTATACTTTAAACTGTTTTGTATAATCAGACCAACTATATGAAAGTACTAAATGTTAGTGAAACTGTAGCTCTGCTACATTAGGTACATCTGGATCTTTTTAAAATTTTTTTTAAAGATTTATTTATTTGAGAGAGAGAGCACGCATGTGTGTGTGCCTAAGTCAGGGGAGAGGCAAAGGGAGAGAGGCTGGGCGTGGAGCCCAACTTGGGGCTCGATCCCACAGTCTGTGAGATCATGACCTGAGCCAAAACCAAGAGTTGGATGCTTAACCAACTGACCCACCAGGCGTCCTACATCTGGATCTTTAAATCGCTGTTGTAATTAAAGCTGATTCTGTACTTTATGTGTTTTGACTTGATTATTGGTTAGAAGTTCAAAAAGAAAATTTAGGGTAAATATATTATCTAGGCTTGCACTGTCCAATAAAGTAGCCAGCCACTAGCCTCATATGGCTGTTGAGCACTTGAAATGAGGCTCGTCCTAATTATGGTGTTTTGTTAAGTATGAACTACGGTATACTCAGTTTTGAAGACTGAAAGTCTTGAAGTACAGAAAATCCATGTAAAATATTTCATTAATAGTGTTATAGTGATTACATGTTATTTATATATAATAAAAGATAATATTTTGTAAATACTGGATAGATAAAAGGAATTTCACCTGCTTTTACCTTTTTAATGTGGTTACTAGGACATTTTAAAGTATATATATATATATAAAGTGTATATATATATATATATAGATATATATGGCTTGCATTGTATTTTTGTTGGACATGGACAGAAGTGGTCTAGGCTATTGCATGGTTCAAGCAATATGTGATAAGGGCCTGGACTGGGACAGTTAGGGAATAGATAAGGAGAATTGGGATAAGGTGTAAACAGTCTATAGCACTTGGAAATGGATTCCATGTGGTAGTTAAGGGGATGTCAAAGATAACTATAAGATTGTTGATTTGGGTGATAAGAGGATGGGTAATGTCATTAAGTAAGAAAGAGAACATGAGAGGAAGAGGGGGTTATAGGTAATAGCTATTGGTATTTCATATATAATGTTGTACATATATCTTCACTAATTCTTTGAAACATTTAGCATTAAACATTAGAAGATGGTCATGTTTAAGGTATTTTCCCCTGTTCCCACCTCCCCACCTATGTCTTTCTAGGATTTGACTTCAGAAGATCAAAAAACATCCAGTGTTGAACATAAAAGCTGCAGTGAGGGAGAAGATTTTGCAAATATGAAAAAGAAGGCCAAAATAGACATTCATTACAAAAATAGTCCCCCCAAATTTACTGTTCCAGTTAGCAGAAAGACTACAGAATCTTCTCTTAATGAAAACATTTATAATTCGACGTCATTTAAAGATGAGAAAGTCATGGAGACTGATAGTGAGCCAGAAGAAGGTGAAATTACAGACTCTCAGACAGAGGACAGTTATGATGAAGACATTACCAGTGAAGACAATGTAACTGCAGAAGATAGTGAGGACGAAGGTAAGTAAATAACTATTGTTTGATTTTCTGTAAATAACCCAGTCTAGTCATTGTAAAAGAGCAACAGAGTTAAAAATGTTAGTAACTCTTGTATTTGCCAAAAAATAAACGGACTGTTTTAAACTGATTATTTTTTATATGTGTGTGTATATATATATATTTTTTTGATATTTTATTTATTTGACAGAGAGAGACATAGCGAGAAAGGGAACACAAATGGGGAGAGGGAGAAGCAGGCTTCCCACTGAGCAGGGAGCCCGATGCGGGGCTTGATCCCAGGACCCTGGGATCATGACCTAAGTTGAAGGCAGATGCTTAACAACTGAGCCACCCACGCGCCCCTAAACTGATTATTTTAATGACATTCTTGAAAATTATGTGAGCTACCAACAAAGTGGTCTCCAGTACCATTATGGTTATTTTTAGAGGGAAGAATTTGAATAAATGACTAATAGTTGGACCTTAAAATTTTATTGCATTGAATGGCCTAGTCAGTAGAACAAAACCAAGTTACATACGTTCTAAAGTATATACTAAGGCTATCTTGGTGGGTTAGATATTTGTAGTCTACTTTTGTAGGAAGGGAAAAAATAAGTTGCCTTTAAAAAGTGTAGTCCAGGGGCGCCTGAGTGGCTCAGTCGGTTAAGCGGGCTCCCTGCTCAGTGGGGAGCTTGCTTCTCCCTTTCCCTCTGCTGCTCCGCCTGCTTGTGCTCTCTCTCTCTCTCTGTCAAATAAATAAATAAAATCTAAGAAAAGAAAAAAGTGTAGTCCATGAATTCAGCTACGTAGGTATCATGGTAAATCTTATATTTAAAAAATATGTATTTAAGAAGATAGCAGGAGGGGAAGAATGAAGGGGAAATCGGAGGGGTAGACGAACCATGAGAGACAATGGACTCTGAAAAACAAACTGAGGGTTCT